TTGATCCATTTTATACAAATGGAGCGTCATAAAAAATTAGTTTTGATAATTATAACACAAATTTTCGGATAATTTTTTGAATTTTGAAAATTACTAATAATGGTCCCATTATTTCCAGTTCTCTACACATTGTCTTGTAAAAATATTGCAAAAAAATCTCTGTCAATTATCTAACATTTTTCCTCGGATACTTTGTGTATACAGGGTGAGCCACTAATACCGTTCGTCAATATCTCCTAAACTAATAGAAGTAGAAAAAATATGAAAGTCTAAAGTTATACAGTTCTTTGAGTAGCCTACACTAAAATGATTTACTACTATACAGAGTGTTTTTTTCGAGGCTTAGTAAAGAACTTAGTTTGTTTAAATACAATGCCCTATATATTTTTACATATTCTTATTAGCTTCTCCCTAGGTTAATTTTTGTAAATCCGATGCGACGTTGCCACGTTATTCCATTTTAAATTTTTTTTTGTTTTGTTATTTTGGAGAGTTGATAAATGTACGCGCTTTGTTACGGTGTCAATTAAATAAAATTTTAATCATACTCTTTTTTCTATACGCACTAATAAAATACAGGGTGTTCTATTTGAAAAAACTAAAATATCAAAATTAAAAATTGTTATCATTTATATTTTCTTAGAAACACTCTGTATATTAAAACCCGATTTTATTTATACCCCAATAAAGTGCGTATCTTCACTTACCGCTCCACAAAATATTGTAACACGGATTTTAAATATAAACCTGTTGCGATTTTTTGTGGACTCTCATGGCTAAAAAATGACAAGAAAATTGGAACAACTTGGCAACGCCGCTTCGGAATTTCGAAATTAAACTATGGTTATAAAGTCTAGAAAGACATCACTCAGAATATATAAAAATATACACGGTATTCCATTTGAACAATTAGTGCATATATGACTAAATAACTCCAAGTCCTGTACAAGCTTTGACTTACACTTTTTTTTCTATTTCTAATAATTAGTGAGATATCAAGGAATGAACGCTTAGTGACTCACCCTGTATATAGAATAAAGAAATACAAAAGTACAAGGTGAGCGTAAATGATCAAAAATAGTAAAATATATACTCAAACTAAATATAGGGGAAAGGTGCCTAAAATGATCCCCCTAAGGGAGAAATTCTTTAAAAAATACAAATTATTATTATTCATGTAAAGCTGTAGCATTATTTGTAAGAACATTGATTTATCTAGGTAACAGTATAAGCCAATTGGTAATTCGATAATTATAAAAAAAGTTATTAACGTTTTTCCAGGACCTTACAAAAGGATCATTTTAGGCATCCCCATAGGTAAAATGATCCCTCGGCATGGGCATAATGATCCCTTTGAATTTTGACCATAAGGGGACAGCATCAACAAGAAAAATCAAATCATGACATAACTGATAAATATTTTATTTCAAAAATTAACAAAAAAATAAATTCTTAAAAAAAAATAAACAAAAAAAGTTTGAAAAGCACCGAAAATACGGGGTGTATAATTTCTGGAAGAGTCTGAGACAATACTTTAGTCATCAGTACGTGCTAAGATAAGACTAATTTTGCCAAATGGGATACCCTCCAAGAAAAGAGAGGGCGGGTGGGCGGGCCTACTACCTGCTAAGATAAAACTGAATTTGGCAAATGATATACCCTCTAAGCAAAGAGAGGGTGGGTGGATGGGGCTAGTAATTGCTAAGATAAAACTGAATTTGGCAAATGACACACACTCTAAGAAAAAAGAGGGTGGGTGGGTGGGGTTAGTAAGTGCTAAGATAAGACTGAATTTGGCAAATGATATAGCCTTTAAGAAAAGAGAGGGCGGGTGGGCGGGTCTACTAACTGCTAAGATAAAACTGAATTTGGCAAATGATATACCCTCTAAGAAAAGAGAGGGTGGGTGGGTGGGGCTAATACTTGCTAATATAAAACTGATTTTGGCAAATGAGATACCCTTTAAGAAAAGTGACGGCGGGTGACTGGGATTAGTACCTCTTAAGACTGAAAATTTCCCAAAAATAGAACACGAAAATCCCTAAAATTCTTTTAAATTATTTAAATTTCCCCGTCTTAAGAGGTACTAGCTCCACCCACCCTCCCTCTCCTCTCTTAGAGGGTATTTCATTTGCGAAAATCAGTTTTATTTTAGCAGGTAGTAGGTGGGTGAGGCTAGTAACTGCTAAGATAAAACTGGTATTGGCAAATGGTATTCCCTCGAAGAAACTAAAGGGTGGGTGGGCGGGGTTAGAGGATATGTCATCTGCAAAAATCAGTCTTATTTTAGCAGGTAGTAGCCCCGCCCACCCACCCTCTCTTTTCTTGGAGGATATGTCATTTGCGAAAATCAGTCTTATCTTATGAGGTACTAGCCCTCTAACAAGATAAAGGGCGGATGGACCGAGCTAGTGATTGGCAAGATAAGGCTGATATTGGCAAATAACATACATTCTAAGAAAATAACGGGCGGGTGGGTGGGGTTAGTACTTGCTAAGATAAAACTGATATTGGCAAATGGTATTCCCTCAAAGAAAATAAAGAGTAGGTGGGCGGGGTTAGAGGATATGTTATCTGCAAAAATCAGTCTTATCTAGTACTAGCCCCGCCCACCCACCCTCTCTTTTCTTAGAGGGTATATGATTTGCAAAAATCAGTCTTATCTTAGCAGGCACTAGCCCCGCCCAATGATCCGGGATCATTTTGCCTCAAGAAAAAGGGATCATTTCGCCTTAGGTAGCATATCCGCATTCAAAAATTGTAAACTAACTTTCAATTTTTACATGCGCTAAAAAGATCATAACTAACCTACGACTGAAATGTATCTAATTCTGTCAAAACAACTACCACCGCTATAAGACCTTTCAAATGGAAGTAATGGACTTTTAAAATATATCTTACCTTAGATCAGAGGTGCTTATTTTACATATTTTGGCACAAAACTGTGCAGAATACACAGAACGCCATCAAATTTTCAGAAGGTACTAATTACAGAGCGCTTAATCAAATGACAGTTATGTTTGGTAGATGGAGCCACAAATTTTCTTACAATTGATGGGGATCATTTTAGGCACTTTTCCCCTACTAAAAAATAAATTTATTTCAAATATGTTGTAAGGTCGTAGAGAAAATTCTGTATACTAGAAATCACCTAAGAGATATTTATAATCTTGCCTTGCTAACGCTTCGCGATAATAATGCTTTTAACTCCTTGTAATGTAAACAATCAATACGGTATAAGACATAGGGATAGAGGGTATCTCATTTGCCAAAATCAGTCTTATCTTAGCAGGTACTAGCCCCGCCCACTCGCCCTCTCTTTTCTTAGAGAGCATATCATTTGCCAAAATTACTCTTGTCTTAGCAGGTACTAGCCCCGCCCACCCGCCCTCTCTTTTCTTAGAGAGCATATCATTTGCCAAAATTACTCATGTCTTAGCAGGTACTAGCCCCGCCCACCCACCCTCTCTTTTCTTAGAAGGTATATTATTTGCCGTAATCAGTCTTATCTTGGTAGCACAACGTGCCTTAGATGAAGTTGTGACTATGGTTTTCAACTTTTTATGCGAAAAATCCACACCATTTCCTGTAATCACGTTTTTAAAATTTTTAACAATTCTCTGTATTGAAGTGTTCCTTTAGGAACCATATATTGCCAGCATAGACAACTTTTTTAAATAGGAATTATAAAAATTAAGTAGATTTCACTGATTTGAGCAAATTCTGTTAAACATAAAGTTTTTCTCAAATTGGTACTTCAAAAGTACCTAGTACCGCACGAATACAGAAATAGCTGTTGAGCGGAAATTTCCAGGTCACTGTCTCAAATTTCTTAATTTTCCCGTTCCACTAAAGGAAATACCAAACCGGTGATAAATCAAGAGGGAAAAAGAAACGGTAAACGAGTGATAGAGGAAGCAATATACTTCATATACAGTATTTGTACATTACTGATCGGTACTAAAACGACAGAACTGGAATCCAACATTAAGAAAGCACTTCAAAGCACTTACAAAGAACTATAAACGCTACGTATTTTGTAAAACTGTGAAAGTACCAACAAGTACTTAGTAATTCAGAGTCGTGACATTAATGAGTGAAAAATGAGGCACTAGAGTACCAATAGTGTCAATTTTGCTGCAGTACCGAGGTACTCCTTAATCAAATCAAAGCAGAGGTTGTAAATTCCGTAAGCACCCGTCTGTCACGCTGAATCACTGCGGTTTTCGAAGATCACCAACCTGTAAAAATCAATAGCGTTATTTCCGGCGAAGGAACGATTTAATTCACGCGAAATCCGATCCGCAGCAGCCACGTGATCACGGTTTCCGGTTATTAACACAGCACGAAGCGACAATTATATTTCGGCAATTCCGGAAATTCTGGAAACGAGTTGCACAAGTTGTTAACGTGCCGTTACAGCGCACAGTTATTTGCCATTACAGGCAGCAAGCGCAACCCTGCTGTTAAGAAGCCACAGAACAAAAGGAAAAGAAGCCGATGTTCCGTTCCTCCAAACAAATGTCCATGCGAATTCGCATTTCGAAGGTATTTGTGAGTTAGTGGAACGCACCTAAAGCGGGTCAAGTTTTTCAGATTCGGTTTTTAAATGTTGATGCTTGTTAAAGGCGGGTTTGTCTTGTTTGGAGATGTTGAGATTATGTTCGAGATAAGTGGATTTATTGAGATTTGGGAAGCGGTACCACTCGGGCGCGGGGGTTGGGTGGTGCTTGACGAAGGAGACCAAGGGGATGACGAGTGGTACTAAAATATCTACGAGCGAAAAAAGTACCAGGAACGGAAGCACCGAAAGCTCTGTTCCGAGGTACCACCCTCGGCCCGCGCCGCGTATTTGCAAACAGCGATAACAAAAACTTGCGCTAGTCTAAACGAGCTCGAAGCTCGTTGTTCGAATTGAGGTTAAGTTTTTTCATGTGAACCGTCGCCTTGCCTTTCCAAAACGTTTTTTTTTCGCAACGTTCTTCCTTGGTGGTTATTACCTTTCGGCGATGTCATCAGCCTCGGAGCACTGGAACAGGAATCACCGAACACCACATCACTTTGTCATAAACCATACATTGGCGAGCACGCGTATCATGGCCGGCGCGTGTACGTCTTTGGAACTTGAGGAAAGTCTTCGTGAAGCACTCTCGAGCTCGGTCAGCGACTGACTGAAGGAGAGACGGCCGACCGGTAAGGTGACCGCTCTACCAATCCCATCTCGTTACGGCAGGTGAATCGCGGGGCTCGGCGGACACCAGACACCAAAGGGCAACGACTTGGAGAATGGCAGACACGTCGCGGCGCACATGGACGCAAGAAGGAGCAAAAGGGGGCTCGCGAGGCGCCGAGGGACGTCGCTGACGCCGGGGGAAGTGTTGAGCCGGGAACGGAGCCGGATTTTCGGGGTTCGACACGAAGACGACTGAGGTACCACGGGATGAATTGAGGTCCACCAAGCCCTTTTAGTCGTCTTTTGACGTGAGAGCACTAGGGACAAAAGCTGGAAGTACCCTTGAAGTACCTTGACGATTCTTGTTCGCAGCAATGCAGCCAATTACACCAATATTTCGCCGATTCCAACTTCATAAGCGACTAGTTGTCGGGATTTTCGCATTCCATGCCATTAGCGAAGGTCTGGAATATCAATTTTAACGAGCTGCTGAGTAAAAAGCTTCATCACATTTCGGCGAGTCCGCACAAAGTCGTACAATAGACGAGCGCATGTCTTCACCAGAGTACGGAAATATGCGAGAGACAAGTTCGCATAGACCCTAAAAGGAGTCGACTGACATCGTTCTCGGAAAAGAACAAGCGACTGCTTTTTACCGAGCATCTTGAAAAGGGGAAGTGTTAGGAAAGTGTCTTGGCATGTTCACTATCATACCAACAAGTAACGAGAAGTCGTAAGGCCGGTGGAGAGTGACGAGGGATGGGAACAAGGCGAAAACTTATCGAGAAACGCAGCAAAAAATTCCAGACCGAAATGTTCTTTGAATGCTTCCGAGAAAGCTCTAGTCTCCTCTGATCTAACCCGACTTGAGCTGAAATTTTGGAAACGAAATTCTCCATCCAAACCATAAAGTAAATTTTAATTGGTCGTTAATGTTAACAACACTCCATTCAATAGCCAAACCTAATCAGATCTCCTAATCTCTCTAATTTATAACCGTAAACGACTTTTTATTGATTTATAATTAAAAGGCAAACCTACTGTTTAATCACCATTAAACAATAATTTATCAGTCCGGCCAAAAACCATCCAGACTCCTAACCTTTCCGAGATCCCAGTCCACCTGAAACAATCCTGCGAAAATTACACCGAGCGATCTAAATTCTGCGACCAAACATCGCATTCTTATGCAAAATACCGACATAAATCATTTCCTACTCGTTTTTGATGGCGTTTTTAATTCTGCAATCAACTAGAACAAGATTGTCTAGTCTTGCCTCGAGACGAGATCGAAATGAGATTAAATGCGACTGGCCGAATTTGGGACGAAGTTGGTGCGAGGCGGACGGAAATTAGCCCACTTTTCGTCTCTTTCTTGGCGAGGATTCGGAAAACTTAGTGTGTGGAATTGTAGTGTTGGGATTTACGCCGGCTTGGCAAAAATCGGATCACGTAGAAGACGGACCGTTTTAACGTGTCTGGGTTCCGCTTCGAAACTGCGAAATTGTGGAATAAATAATGAATGAGGAGAGAATGAGTTAGAGCTTTGCGGGGAAAAGTTGGCGCTGGTGTTAAGTAGGACCTTGATTTGATATTTTGGATGCAGTCTCACCTACTTTGTTCTTCGTTTTTTTCGCTGGTTTGCCACTTTTTGTTCGTTTTGTGTGGTCACTAGTTGTGGTTCCGATTATGATTACTAGATTTATAGCAAAGTAGACAAGGGAATTTTGTGTGGGATCACTATTTAAAAAATATATAGATGAGTCACCGCTTTCATAGCTTTAGGCAGAAAATTGATCTAAAGTATTTATAGAGTGAGTGAGTTCCCTCATACTCAGAGCGGTGACCTGATGTTTGTCGTCAGGTCATGGCGTGTCAAGTCAGGTTCAACAAAGTTTAAAATGCGAGCGCAGCGAGCACGTCCAGGTGTAAATAAAAAATATATTTATTGCTGTCCCTGAGAAACTAAATGTGAGTGAATGTTTGTGGTCACTAATATTTGAAACATGCTGCACGTGCTCGCTGCGCTCGACGCTTTTTTGACTTGAATTTTGCTTTTTTTGTTCCTTCAGTTTTTCGATTGGCAATTTTTCGAATTTTCAGGTTTAAATTTTTCAGGTTTTCAATTTTGCAACTTTTGAATTTTTTAATTTTAGGATTTTGCAATTCGGTTTTTTATTCTCTTCATTTTTTCAATGATTCGATTTTTCAATCTTCCAATTTTATAATTTTTTGGTTAGTCAATTTTAATTTTTAAAATTTTTCGATTTGCGATTTTTCAGTTTTTTATTTTCTTGTTTCTTCAATTTTTGAATTTTCCAATTTTTCGATTTAAAATTTCACGAGTTTCCTTTTTGATTTTTCAATATTTCGTTTCGGTTTTTTATTCTTTTTATGTTTTCAATTATTCGATTTTTCAATTTTCCAATTTTGATTTGTTTTTTTTTTCTATTTTAATTTTTTCAATTTTTCGAATTGCGATTTTTCAATTTTTAATTTTTTTGTTTCTTCGATTTTTAGGTTTTGCAGTTTTTCCATTTAAAATTTCTCGAGTTTTCAATTTTTAATTTTTCAATTCTTCAAGGTTATTTCGACAGAACTTACCTCGCCTCTGAAGTAAATCCGAGTAAATCCCGCTTCTTTGAAAAATTATAAAAAATTTTTGCGATTTTTGTTTTTCTAATAACGGCTATAAAGTAAAAACTAGTGGTGCAAATAATATTCCCGCCCTTTTTTGACTCGAATTTTTCTTTTTTTTTTTTTCAGTTTTCAATTTACAATTTTTTGGGTTTTCAAGGTTTTCGATTATCCAAATTTTGAATTTTTATATTTTTAGATTTTGCAATTTATGGATTTGAGTTTCTCGAGAATTTTAATTTATTTAATTTTTCGATTTGCGATATTTCAATTTTTCATTTTTTTGTTTCTTCAATATTTAGATTTTGCATTTTTTCTAGTTTTTTGATTTCAAAAGTTTTCAATTTTTAATATTTCAGTTGTGATTTTTTAATTTTTCATTTCTTCAAATTTTCGATTTGCAATGTTTCGTTTTGGTTTTTATTTCCTTTATTTTTAGAGTTTTTCGGTTTTTCAATGTTTCAATTTTATAATTTTTTGTTTTTTAGATTTCATTTTTGTCAATTTTTCGTTCTCTTTGTTTCACGAGTTGTCAATTTTTAATTTATTAATTTATAGATTTTCCATTTCTTAAATTTTTTGATTTGCAATTTTTCATTTAGTTGTTTTCGATTTTTCGGTTTTTCAATGTTCTGATTTTCTCCTTTCAAAGTGAAATTTTTCAATTTTTGATTTGCAATTTTTCTAGTTTTCAATTTTACAAAGTTAGAATTATTCCATTTTTCAATTTTTCGATTTTTCTGTATTAGTTTTTCAACTTAACAATTTTGACGATTCGATAATTTTCCGATTTTACAATTTTTGAGTTTTCCAATTTCTGGATTCGATTCGTTTTCTCTTCTTTCCAATTTTTCAGTACATTAATTTTTTCCGATTTTTTAGTTTTTCAATTTTTTAATTTTTCGATATTTCCATGTTCACATTTTATAATTTCCCAACTTTTGAATGCTTAATTTTCTTAGATTCTGCACTTTTTTGATTTGAAATATCACGAGTTTTCAATTTTTAATTTTTCAATATATAGATTTTTCACTTTTTCAATTTTTCGATTTTCAGTTTTTCATTTCGGTTTTCCATTTTCTTAATTTTTGCGAAATTGCGGCCTTTGAATATTCTGATTTTCTAATTTTTCATTTTTCGATGTGAAATTTTTCAATTTTTGAATTGCAATAATTGGATTTGAAACTTTTCCTTCATCCGATTTTCCATTTTTTCGATTTATCAGCACTTTTTGGACTTAATTTAATTTAATTTCGACGATTCTATAATTTTTCGTTTTTACAATTTTTGAGTTTTCAAATTTCTAGATTCGATTCGTTTTTTCTTCTTTCCAATTTTTCAGTTCATTAATTTTTTTCGATTTTTAGTTTTTCAATGTTTCAGTTTTTCATTTCTTCATTCTTCGATTTTCAAGTTTTTGATTTTCCACTTTGTCGATTTCGCAATTTTTGGTTTTTTCAGTTTTTTTGTTTTTTCACTGTTCCGACTTTATAATTTTTGTTTTTTCGATTTCAATTTTTTCAATCTTTCGTTTCTTTGTTTCTTCAGTTTTTTTTTTCGAGTTTTCATTTTTAAATTTCAGTTTTCCAATTTTTCAACTTTTGGATATTTCATGTTGTAGATTTTGCAATTTTTTGATTTTCAGTTTCACAAGTTTTCGATTTAAAATTTCTCAATTTAAAAATTTTTCATTTCTTGAATTTTTCGATTTGCAATTTTTCGTTTAATTTTCTCTTTTCATTTTTTTGAATTTTCGGTTTTTCAGTGTTCTGATTTTCTAATTTTTGTGTTTTTCAGTCTGAAATTTTTCAATTTTGGTTTGCAATTTTTTTAGTTTGCAATTTTTCTAATTTTTTCAATTTTACGATGTTAGAATTATTCCATTTTTCAATATTGGATTTTAAACATTTTTTTCCATTCGATTTTTCAATTTTTCAGTTTTACAGCTTTTCGATTGGCGATTCTATAATTTTTCGATTTTGCAATTTTTGAGTTTTCCAATTTCTAGATTCGATTCGTTTTTTCTTCTTTCCAATTTTTCGATTAATTATTTATTCGGCTTTTAGTTTTTCATTGTTTCGATTTTTCGTTTCTTCATTCTTCGATGTTCAGTTTTAGTTTGTAATTTTTCTAGTTTTCAATTTAACAATGTTTGAATTATTAGATTTTTCAATTATTGGATTTTAAACCTTTTTCTGTTATTCGATTTTTCATTATTAGTTTTTCGACTTAGTTAACTTAATTTTGACGATTCGATAATTTTTCGATTTTCCAATTTCTGGATTCGAATCGTTTTTTCTTCTTTCCAATTTTTCATTCATTATTTTTTTCGAATTTTAGTTTTTCAGTGTTTTGATTTTTCGTTTGTTCACTCTTCGATGTTCAATTTTTGAGTTGCATTCGATTTTT